CACTGCACCCACCCTGTAGGGGAACTACAACGGGGCAGTGTGAAGAATCCTTAAAGAGGAGCTCCAGCCTCCTGTGTAAAAATGAAAGGGCAGCAGCTGAAAAAACTGTAGCTGCTGACTTTCAGAAAACAGCAACTCACCTGTCTCACGATCCAGCGCTGTACTCACCCTAGCCACTTTCAACTCCCAAATTCTGTCCCCAGCATCTTAACTGTGGGAACTCGGCTGTGACAGCTTGCGACTTCACAGCCAGGTGCCCATTGCACATGAACGAGCCAGCTACTGCACATTGTGAATGGTCCCGCAGTCTTCTGGTACCTGTGATGTGTCCCAGAAGACTGCGCGGCAGGAGGAGGGAATGAGAACGTCTGCTATGATCACTTAGGCAGTCAGAGCAGAAGTTGGAACAGGTACCTGTAAAGGTTTCCCACTCCTCAAAAGTGCAATTTCATAAAGAGGAGGGGAAGAGGCCTTAAGGCAGAACTTCTCCTTTTGGGTGAATCTCCGCTTTAAAGTAACACACCCTTTTAACAGACACAGTATTCAGTAATTGTAAAGGTTTGCAAGATAAAGAATCAGCTCCATGGGCTTAGTATTATATGACATCTGAGTTGTAGTTATTACCCATCATTATGAAGGCTAGGAGATGGAGGCTTGATGGCATGTATGGTTTTTATTAATTTCTTTAACTGTTTATTGCCATATTGTAAACAAAATGGAATAGCACTATATACCTTCCAATCTTGTATATGGATTGTATTTACAATAAATCGAGTTTAAAAAAATATATATTTAAAAAAACTGCAAGCTTCTTTTTGTCTCGGCAAAGGGCGGCCAGGCAACAAAGGGCTTCATTAGATAGAAGCAAGGCACCAATCCCCAATGTCCCAGAGAGCTTTAGAAGAATGTTATTTGGAGAGATAAGACAAAATAGAGTTTGTTGAATTATATTAGTTTCATTATGTTTGGTATAATCCAGACACACTATCCCCCTGTTAAAGATGGTGATGGTGTGGGGATACCTCACTTTGTAATGACCTGGAAGACTTGCCAAAATAAAAAGAATTATGGATTGTATTTTGCGGGAGGAAATCCATAAGACTGTTCTGTCACCCACCCATGAGCCATAGAGTTAAGTAAACGCGCAGAACGAAAACATTTGTTTTGTTTCGTATCAATATCAATAAATAGGTTATGAATTTTGTTTTGTTGCGTTTTTAACAAAATGAATTTAATTTAGTTTTTGACTGGATTCAAATTTTTCCAATGGATTGGAAGTATTTGAATCAAAAATATTGAATCGATCCGATTCATTAGTGATGCACCGAAATGAAAATTCTGGTGCCAAAACCGATACCAAAAATTCAGAATGCATGTGGCCGAAGACCGAACCAAAACCGAAACATCTGTATATGTGGGGGTGAAGAGGCTCCAAATTTTTTTTTTTTTTTTACTTTCGTGTAATTTTTTTTTTTTTAACTTATGATTTTATTGCTATTACATAGGGGACCAATAGTCCCCTATGTGATAGCATATGAGTGACAGGTCCTCTTTGTAGGGGGCAGGGAGTGGGCAGTATGTGCAAGGAGGGAGCCTTTCTCCACCGCCCCCCCCCCCCTCACATTTGAAGTACACACAGTCCCCCTTATTGGCACCAGGATCAGCTACATTTTTCCTATCAGCAAAATGCCGATAGGGCTATTTTTGGCCGATATGTTTCGGTGGCCGAAATTTCTCTGTACTCCTGTATAATGACCGGTCCCTTTTTATACTCCCATAAATGACAGGTTATTTTTTATTCTTCAATACTCGAAAAGACCTCTCTATACAGGTCCTCACATGGCAGAGAGATCTTGCGAGAGTTTACCAAACACTTGTGATAGCTTGCAGCCATGTTCTCCCACTCTTACACATGTGCAGGAAAGGAAAAATCATTGAGATCTTGCAGATGTTTGTCAAATACTGGTGAGATTTTGCCATGGTACATGGAATCCTATCTTTTGACGGATCAAAAGTATGGTGCAGTGATAACAAAGTAACATCAATCAGTGACTATAAAATGTCCTTGAATTCTCTTGTTCTTCAATAAATGTCCCTTTCAACCTCTTAATATTTATATGGATTCCTTCCCTCGTTTGATCAAAATTCAAGATGTGCTCTCACCTTAAACATATGACCTGCAATGATTTGACCATACATGATTGTAGGGTCATATGTTTAAGGTGAGAGCACATCTTGAATTTTGATCAAAAAAGAAGGAAGGAATCCACACAAATATTAGGAGGCTGAAAGGGACATTTATTGCAGTACAAGGGAATTCATGGACATTTTATATTCACTCATTGATGTTACTTTATGTTCGCACTGCACCATATTTTTGATTATTGAACAAGGGTACACATTTATATGAGACTGTGTTTGGGTGTTGGCAGTTAGGTAATTAGCTTTTTCATAGCAGCTCATTAGATGCACAACAATTTATAATTTTTTGACTGAAGCCAATATGACAGTCAAACCTTTGACTCTTGGTTGCCATAGGGCGTCCGGGAGTCACAAGACCCGCTGCGCACTCAGCTATTGCACAGGAAGTAAGAGGAAGGGCGGACATTTCTCTTGCTTCTTGTGTATTTCATTTTATTTTGTATAATGATTTATCTGTGTTTTTCATTTTTATTACTTATGGATTAGATCATAGCTGAGTATAAAAGACTGCAATCCACATTTTGATAAAATATGGGAAATTTGGCCACAATATCTGCTTTGTAGCATTTTATATACCATATTTTTCACTCTGTAAGACACACCTGACCATAAGATGCACCTAGATTTTAGAGGTGGAAAACAGGACATAGTACTGGAGATGACCAGAGACTGCAGACATACTACAGGAGATGACCAGAGACTGCGGACATAGTACAGGAGATGACCAGAGACTGCGGGCATGATACAGGAGATGACCAGAGACTGCAGACACGGTACAGGGGATGACCAGAGACTGCGGACACGGTACAGGGGATGACCAGAGACTGCGGACACGGTACAGGGGATGACCAGAGACTGCGGACACGGCACAGGGGATGACCAGAGACTGCGGACACGGCACAGGGGATGACCAGAGACTGCGGACACGGCACAGGGGATGACCAGAGACTGCGGACACGGCACAGGGGATGACCAGAGACTGCGGACACGGCACAGGGGATGACCAGAGACTGCGGACACGGCACAGGGGATGACCAGAGACTGCGGACACGGCACAGGGGATGACCAGAGACTGCGGACACGGCACAGGGGATGACCAGAGACTGCGGACAGGGTACAGGAGATGACCAGAGACTGCGGACACGTTACAGGGGATGACCAGAGACTGTGGACAAGGTACAAGAGATGATCAGAGACTGCGGACACGGTACTGGAGATGACCATAGACTGCGGACACGGTACAGGGGATGACCAGAGACTGCGGACACAGTACAGAAGACCAGAGACTGCGGACACAGTACAGAAGACCAGAGACTGCGGACCTTTGGGGAGTGGAGGCAGGGGGAAAGCGAAGGGGGGGGGGGGAGCGTGTACCCGAGTTTGACAGGTACCCTCTCCCACATCCACGGAGTTGTCCTTCCCCCTCCTTCCCCATATTCTTCTGGGACATGTGACAGGTCCCAGAAGATTACAGGGCCATTCACAAAGTGCGGCGCTTCTTGTGCAGTGGGCACCCGGCTGTGACAGCTTGTGGCTTCACAGTCTCCATGCCGGGGAGAGAAGACTGAGGACACTGCTGGACCGAGGAACAGGTAGGACCGCTGGAGGTCTGCAAAGAAGAGCCGAGCGGCCGGTCTGGTATTCTAACACGGGGGGAATACCGGGTCAGCTGCTCGATATTCGCTCCATAAGACGCAGACATTTTCCCCTTTTTGGGGGAAAAAAGTGCGTCTTATGGAGTGAAAAATACGGTAATAAAGACTGCTATATTTTAAATTAAAACTATAATCAGTTATATGTGTTGACACCAAACAGAGGGATGCACAAACACTGTTCTCTACTATCCTCACTCCAAAATCCAACAAAGTGGCATTTGCTGATTTTTTTTACCAGACAAAAATTAAACTATCAAAATATACATAAACAGGTGGAAAGGTTCTGAAAAAACACATAGAACGGGTAGTGTCCTTTAATCTGGCAAATCCGTACAGGTATTCCGAAATCATGACACTACATTGTCAGAACAGTTGCTAATACAACTCACCCATTAGCTTCCTCTTCATGTTAATGGCAACTTCTAGTTGATGGGCACTTCATACCACTATCTAGGACAGGGCAGAGCAATTTGTACATGGAACACTATTATATTACAAACAAAATGAACAAAGGGTGCAAACGCCTAGTGCATTGTCTACAGCTCTACATTAAAGAATAAAAAGAGTACAAACTCACAAAAGCCAAAATGATAACACCATTGAATGTAAACCAAGAAACCGAAAGGTCTGTCATGTGATAGAACTCCTCTGGTTCAAATGGATGTCATATAACCAGCTGATGTGTTTTGGGGGGCAGTCCCCGTTCATCAGAGCAAACCTGGTCTGAACTCCCCATTCTCTCCTTAATATAGAGAGAACTTAACTCTAAGAGAGGGGGAGGAGGGAGGGGGTCCGGAAGACATATCCAGACCAAACCCCCAGAGCTCTCTCAAAGCAAAAACAATAATCAATAGTAACACAAGTTTTAAATTACAGATAAAGGGCTAACATCCAAACTTTGAAGAGCACTACATCAAAGAAAAAAGTAAGATTTTAGGAAGCAAACATGGGAGAACAAAAAAGTGCAAGTAACACCAAGTGTGTGTGCGTATGTTGCAGGATTAGAAGGTGGTAAGTTGACCAACAAGGGGACTTGCAATGTTACGTCACACCTTTCATATTTTCTACTCTTACCTTTTTCACAAGGTTTGCTTCCAAATCAATGCAAGCTTCGCTAGGTTTCACCCCCGCTACGGTTATGTCCTCTGTTACATCGGGATGCGGTAACAGTTTCATAGTACTCCCCACCCTCATTTTTGAGGACTGCTCAGTGCAATACAAAGAGTCATGGCTACTGTTAATGTGATTTATGATGGATCTCTTGGGGAAGATGATCAGCTTCATGACAACTCTGAGGACTATTCAAATCTTCTTGCTGTAAGGCAGAGTCTATAGAAAGCTCAGTCTGAGTGAAGGGTGAAGAGATGTCATCTGAAGCAAGTGTTCGAATTATAATTCCAGGCGTGTGGCAGTGGACAGTGACATTGTCATTTGAACTTAGGAGGTGTTCCGGCTGTAAATGTGAGGGAAAGTGACATATTAAGAGGGATCCACAGAAAAACTGTGCTGTACTCTCACGCTCTCACAAATGCACCCGTTCTTATTAAAAAAATATTATTATTTTGTCTCTTTCAATGAAGACGTTTGACACTTTCATAAATGGGGATATCTTCTCAATCTAATGATACGACATGAATCTTACAGGAGACATGCTACTTATGTGTGTGATTTCCTTTAGTAACACAAGTTTGGTTGCGGTATTACAGAACTGAACTACAGAACTTTTACGATCTCTCTTTTTGTGATTTCAAGTCCTCCACAAGCACCATAATTCCAATATAATTTACATTACATAATGGCCTTGTACAAGAACATCAGTTTTATAGTCATGAAGACTCCTTCTTTGTTGCGTGGTTTGGCCTATTTTATCTACAATCAGTACTGTAGTGCTTTTGAAACATGTGATTAGGAACAGAATACAAAGTTGGAGGAGCTTTAGAAAAAAAAGGATTCTGTAACATATAGTTCTGCTATAAACATGGTATTGGTATCTTATCAATGGTATAGGTTTGGGTGCAGGTCTCACACCATTTTTGTATTATTGCAAATGTTGTATTGGGCTGTTCCGAATTAACTGTTTTGGTCTTAGTAAACATATATTTCAAAATGATGTGCAATATCCCTAGCTATGTGTGTCATGACTTTATCATACATTCTCTAATAAATCTCCCTAGCCTTCATCAAATTCTGTATATTCTAAAATTGTAAAACAGCTACAGTGTATACGACTCATTATTAACTCTTTTTTGTTTTGTGTATATACAGTATTTATTGCTTTCTGGACCAGTCTAGTACAACGCCTGCTGATGAAAACTAACATTTTCCATTCAAGGTCCATTCATCCTTATGGACAGGCGGGTTTAAATGGTCCGATCCAGTCCGCTAAAAATAAATAAATAACTGGAAGGGGATCCATCTGTGAGCTGATTTACTGCTGATCGAAATGGGATCCATCTCATATGAAAGGGGTCTACAGGATATCATTTTAACACCAAACTAGCTGCTGAAGTGCAGAAAGCAAAAACATTATTTTTTAAAAGTATTTGTTGACACTGCAAGTAAGGGTATCAGACAATTTTGATCCAACTGTGGTTATATTACATGCATCCAGTACAAGGGCTGCCTACTTACAGATAAGGCATGCACAATAATTTGCTCTGGTGATGCTGGGGAAGTGCTGGACGTCAAGGTTACAGATGGACTGGATGCCAGGGATAATGGAAGACTTTGGGAAGATCCTGTTTGCAGAATGAAGGTGCCTGTTGTGCCAGCTGGCTGCAAATAGAATGACTGGGACAGAAAAATAAACAAGTCACTTCTTAAAAAAATACAATTTTTGTACTCATCATAGCATCCATTTCTTTGAGTCAATTGCGGGACACAGAATGTAGATACTGTCTAGTTATACTGCTGCCTACTGGAGGATTTGGACACTGGCAAACACACATCTGTAGACCATCCCAGGATAACCCATCCTTCACCTAGCAGAACACAGTTTGTAGCAATCTGCACCAAGAGCAGGATTATAAAACACAAAGGACCTCAATGGACTTCAAGAAAATGATTTTAGTTTGTACAAGTCCTATTACCCTTCTCATACATCTAGTGACAAAGTGATTCCGATACTGTCGGAATGTGCAAAAGCAGTCCAACTGAAGAGTGAGCAACAAGCTAGCAGACCCAAAGAAACAGAACTGGGGACTGCCTCCATCCCAAGAACCCCCTGAAGTACCAGCAGCCAAAACTGCCACCGGATGAGGCTGACCCTACTGCCTGATAAGGGAACCTGCCAACACGACCACAGGGAGGACATGGAGAACCAACTTCATGCCCAAGACCAGAAAAAAAAAAAAGTCACCAACCCAAGATGAGTGGTTCAACAAGGAAGGGAGCTTGTACCATAGACCAAAAAAAGGCTACACACCACATAGTCTAACAATAACTAATTTCCATACCGCAGTGAAAACGGCCAACAACCAACATGGTTAACAAGAAAATGAAACAAGTCCCTGGAAGAAACAAGATAAGGAAACTCAGAAAAGTCCTTGTAAGTCAAGGCCAGCCAGTCTAGAAGGAAAGCCCTAAGAGAAGCCTTTATTTAACTGACCTCAGAAAGGTCAAGAAAGGATTGTCTGCCAATGTCTCCAGATAGAGTTTTCATCTCACCAGGGAAGAACCCTAAATTGACTATAATCACAACCTGCAAGGGGATATAAAAAAGACTACTGAAGGGTAGCTCCCTGTTTAATGAGGAGGAATTGGGTGCAAAAATGCTGTGGAGTCTTCCAGTGAGAAACTAAGTGGTTTAAATTGCACTTACAGGTGGCAGGAAGGTTGCAATGCTAAATCCTGACAAAACCTAGATCTGGATGAATCCTACTGGTGTTAAGCCCTTCAGAGGGATGTTGCCTGCTAGGGACCCCAGAAACTTCTTTCTTCCCAGTGGGTCATCTGAGTGTCCCACAACGGGGATGTCAGGAAAAAGAACTAGTCCTGGCACAAATGTCTATGCGCACTGGAGTATTAGCCATGCCGAAGCAACATGAGAGTTCATATGTTAGGGCAAAGTGCAACTAGAGCTGGAAACAGATGACCTGATAGGTCAGGGAGCCACCCTGGAGGCAAAGGAATCACAGTGAGGGGTAGCAGATGCCACTGATGACCTTACCCACCCGAAGGGCGGCAAACTGAGAAACAGAGGGTTGCACAGGATAGGATAGCTCCCAAAGTTGAACTGACACAGGAATTAGAGGAAGAGGCTCTGTGTTGGGGAGACCCCCCAGGGTGTAGAAGCCTGTTAATCTGTGCAGTTGCACAGAGGCATAGAGTGAGCAGGTGAAGAAAGTGCTACATGCAAAGACTTAGTCAGTCTGCCCGATGAGATGCTCTCTGCCCCTGAATTCAGGAAGGGAAAACTACCCAAGAACCTGCCAAAATTAGCAACGATCCCCCCATTTGGAAAAGTGGAAGAACATTTTCATGGTAAAGACTCTCTGAGGGCTTAGCAGGTCTTTTGCTTCCCACTGTGCAGGCTGTCTTAGGTGTGTGCTCTAGCTTTCTTTGGTATCCTTGATGATGGCAAGCCCTGAAGACCAAATGAGTCATGCACTCCACTCCTTGGACTTAGCATCTATGATCCAACATCTTATGGAGTGCTCTGCACATCTGTATGGATATCAAAATGATTGGGGACACAGGTTTTGATGCTTCAAAGAAACCATTAAAACTGAAGCTTAAGGTTCCAGACATCTATTCAACAACACATTTTATTAGTAAGAAGTGTACATGAGGAATAGGGTAAATTTGGCCACAAAGTCTTGTGTGACTGCAGTAGAGGCTAAGGAAGGCACGGATGAGGTGGACCCTATAACCATACTGTCACTGGATTCACAATTACAGATGTCAGTGCCCTGAGAGAATACAGAGTAAACATTCCAGTAAGTTTCTGAAAGTGAGCTGGGGTCATCTGTAGAGCGGTACTGTCCGCTCTGTGTAGAAATTTACTGTGTGGCGGTAATGCAACTATATTCCAGGTACAAGGCAAGGCCTCAAGTACTCGTAAAACAAGGCAGCTGGTGGATGATGAGGGTCAAATGGCCAAATGTGACCAAAGTCCCTGCAGGTGGAACGGACCAGAAATCAGAGTTCCTTGTGACACTTTACAGAGCATTAGCAGCAGCCAGAGGATAGCTGAATGGCAGGAAAAACGTGTGCCCTGTGACATACCACCCAATGGATGACATCAGCTATCAGTCCCTCAGCATTACCCTTTGCATGGTGACAACAGCAGTAGCAAGAAAATCAAAAGGTACCCAATGGTGCAAACAACAAGGTAGCTTCCGGTGCTCAGCCCAAACAGCCTACTCAACAAAGTGGGTCTTCAAAACAGGGCAAGCGCTAAAGCCATGGCAATGGCTTTGGACCTGGAAAGGGCTCCTTGACTAGCTTCCATTAGTACTAGATGTTTGGAAAGTGCCACAATTTGAATCTAATGCCTAAAGGTCACTTCAAATCAAGCACCGTCAATGTCCAGTCTAGGTATGGCACTACAAAGTAGCAAGGAATCTTGACTGAATGTAATCTGAGGGAGAAATTGAAGACAAAAAAATTGAAGACAAAAGCTGGCAAAAAATGGTTAGACTTTCCTCAGGAGAGCTGAAAAAAGACGTCCACCCCCCTAGGACACTGGCAAAAAACTGAGATATGCTGGGGTAGAGGAGAGATTATCCTGGGTTGGCCTATTAATTTTGTTGTTTGCCAGCGTGTAGATGGCTGAATAACCCCACAATATTTGGATTCCAGTGTCCCTCAATGGATGAAAAAGATAGTCTCTTTGATGCAAGTGTGTTCCCCATGTGCTGATCAGCCAGGATGCAATACCCTTGAATACCCTACTCCTGAATAAGTTATAAGTGAATCTTGTTATAGAAGGGATTCATCCATTGCCAACACTTCTTGATGTGCATCTTGTACACATGTTTGATGAACTCTACTTTTTACATCTTGGAGGCCTTTGGATAATATGCCCTCTATTTGCATGTTATATGCTGTGGATGGGCTCATAGGCGTTGCTTTGAGAGGGTATATACAAAATATATGTTTTTATTATGTCATCCTATTAATGGTTAGTTTTATTTTGGTTACATATCAAAAAAATTGCTTGATTTAAAATTTTTTGATCTCGTGGAGGGATAACACACCTTTAAAGTCCAAAAAACGTATTTTTTCTCCTTACATACATATTAATTGTGACCTACTCAACCACTTTTTCCTCATTCCCCAAAAAGCTCAGATGCAATGAATCCAGAAACAAGAATCTCTACCCGCTGGATAGATGGCACATTCTTGTACATTAAGTACATTCTACTACACTTCATCTTTTATACCCGTGGTGACAACTAGAAGGCGTTTGCTCTGCTTCTTTTGCACTTTTGTACATTTATAAAAATTATGAGGCAAAACACTTACTGGTAGGATCTCAAATGTCTGTAGTGTGCTAGCTTCTGGGTCAGTACTGGGGGAAGTGGGGTCTGGGGCTATAATAATAATAAAAAAAAAGAATTACTATTACTGTTATTATTAAATCATATAGCCATAACAACAACTCAGGCATCCAATATGGAGGACAGCAGGCTGTGGCTAGTGTTAGCCCAACAAATGAAGCTCTATAAAAGGAAAAACTACAGGTAAGTTCACCAAGTATTTATTTTAATTTTTGAAACAGAATGCAGATAATCTAAGTCTTATCTACAGAAGTCAACCCTTGATATTAACACATTACGCTAACCCCTAACATTACTGAAACCCGTACAGCTTTGGAAATCTAGGCCTGAACTATCTTGAAATGAAAAGTAGGGCCACATATGCAATCCTCCCTTAACTCCTGGTACTGGGATCAGCCAGAAAGGCACTGAGCTACACCAGGCTCATTGTAAGCAGAGGAGGATCTCTTTGTGTGGTGGTGCTGCTGAGGCTGCAGGTTGGTAGAGCTTGGAAAAGTGATCCACCACCCACCTTAAATTGGTTTACTGGGAATGCTAGTTCTTCAAGAAAGAAGGAAGGTTATAGGCCCCAGGAATGGACTCCTAGACAGGCAGCTAAGACTGTTGATGTAATTTATCTCTTGCCTAGCCTACCGTTGAGCGTTCTTCCTACTACGCTGTGCATGCATCAGCTCCAGCCATAGGGTACAACAGACCATATCATAGGGACAGGATCTTATAGTCCAAGACCCAAACATACACTATATGGCAGCAAGGTAGTGCAATGGCAAGCTAGAAACAGGGGGTTGTAAAGAGATCCGCACAGGACATCAGAGGTTGATAAATATATATTGGGGTTTATGGACATTTATTTGAAAGTGCTACTCAGCTTGCTGAAAATCTGACATATTTCTGTACACAAATCTCTCTACACTAGCTATTATAAATGAAAGCCTAGGAACTAAGTCCCAGAATCATCCTTCCAGTACAAAAATCTAACAGGCATGTAAGGCCACAATCACAGCATATGTTCCGAGTGCTTTTTCTTAGCATGCAGTAATGCAGTTATCTTACCTAGATGAGTAATCTGTACAGGGATCTGCAATGCTGCCACTGAACTCTGAGGAAGAACTGGACTATCCTCCAAATGAGCTACTCTTATCTGAACATGCTGCACACTGGAGTTTCCACTCTGAGACTGGATGTCCACCTTGTTCTCCAAATCTTGGGCACCCAGGAGAGTAGTTTGGTTTTCGTGCAATTGACGCAGACCTTTAATTAATACTGCAACCAAATACATTTGTAAATGAACAATTGCTAATGTAAACAGTATGATAAGAATAACGATGCACTATTTATTTGTGGTTATATAAGAGAAACTTGGAAGCAATGCTTTTTAGTGGCTGTGTTGGAGCACAGTATTACTAAATAGACAATAGCAATGCTGTATAGTTACCCATATTAAACATTCATGCTCATATTTTCATTGTTCTGTTTGATAAAAATTGAATGTTATGAAAGCAATATCATTAACTTTAGATTATCAAAGCATACAAGCCTGTTAGCATTTTTTAGGTCTGGTCGTTGTCCAAACATTGCTAACTGGGTATGGGGTTTGGAAATATTCTAACAGCAGCAATGGGAACAAGATGTAAAGCTATAACAAAAACGTGTATGGCGTTGCTAAATATACGGAGCATTGAGGAAAAAAAACAAAGAAAACACAAAGAAACAACAGCATTTTGCAGACAGTCAAGTGCTATAGGCACATTTTGTGAAGTATATAAATACATCAATATGTATTTCAGAAAGCACCAAACAACCTAGCAAGTATAATGAAAAGGCTGTCTAACCTTGATTAAGCACTTGCTGAGTAAAACATACAAAGTAGGTATATACAGCACTAGTTTACTGACCAGTTTGAAGACCCTAAAGCAAAATTTCTGTATGTCTCTGTTAGAAAAGTAATTTCATGAAATATGAACAACCATCAAAAGCAAAATGAGCATGACACTGGCAACAACAAATCTTTATTACCAGGAAAGGTCACATCCTTGTGGTTTGCAATCTGTCTCTTTACTGTCCACCATTTACTTCTGAGCCACTGTGGAGAACGAACACTGCTCCAGCCTTCTGCCAACAAATCCCAGTTGATTTCATTCTCATCCAAGACAGCAAGCTCTGCTATTCTAGCATTAACAGAAATGGAATATTAGAAGACAGTAGGCATTTTCAGAAATATTTTTTTCTCACACAGTGAACCCTACATGCTGGCTAGCGTAAAATGAGTTTGTAAAATATACCTAATAAAAAGTAACAGAAGTGCTTTGACTGGCTAGAAATACATGGATACTTTCAATTGATTTTAGCTGTATTTTAGTTCTGATGTTTTACAGCAAATGCTACAATAAAATTCACTGCGGTGTCAGTGAATCTAAACTTTAGGGGTCAGCAACCCTGACAGTCATGCCAGACAAGGCATGCACTGCCTTTTTCAGTGGCATGAGCTGGCTTCCTGGAATTGAGGATAGTTCCACTGACCTAGCGTGCTTCTTCTAACTTTTTATTTCTTCATCACTGTCACAAACATCCACCTCCTACCCCCTTCACCTGGGACTGCACAGCCCACCATGAAGGTAAAAAGTGCAATGCTGGATGCGGCGGAGCAGGGAGCACAGCAAAAGAGCAGGTTTGCAGGAGGTACAGTGTCAGGAACATATGAGCAAGGGTGTACAGAGTCAGAAGCAGATGAGCAGGGGGCACAGAATTGAGAAAAGATGAGCAGGAGGATAGTGTTGGGGAAAAGATGTACAGGTGGGTACAGTGGTGGTGAAGTGAGCAGTGGAGTACAGTGGTGGGACAGATGTGCAAGGAGGTACAGTGATCTGAGGTGTGTAGGTGCAGGAATTGAGGCTGATCTGAGGTGTAGAATTGCAGGAATTTGGTTATTCTGAGGTGCAAAGGTGCAGGAATTGGGACTAATCTGAAGTGTGAAGGTGCGGGAATTGGGGTTGACATAAGGTGTGAAGGTGCGGGAATTGGGGCTGATCTGAGGTATGAGGGTGTGGGAACTCGGGCTGATCTGAGGTGTAAAGGTGCAGGAAATGGGGCTGATCTGAGAAGTGAAGGTGCATGAAATGGGACTGATCTGAGGTGTGAAGGTGCACGAATTCGGACAGATCTGAGGTGTGAAGGTACGGGAATTGGGGTTAATCTGGGGTGTGAAGGTGCAGGAATTTGGGGCTGATCTGAGGTGTGAGGGTGCGGGAACTGGGGCTGATTTGAGGTGTGAATGTGCAGGAATTGGGGCTGATCTGAGGTGTAGAATTGCAGGAATTGGGGCTGATCTGAGGTGTAGAATTGTAGGAATTGGGGCTGATCTGAGGTGTAGAATTGCAGGAATTGGGATTGATCTAAAGTGTGAAGCTGCAGGAATTGAGACTGACCAGAGGTGCAGGAAATGGGGATGATCTAAGGGGTAGAAGTGCAGGAATTAAAGCTGATCTGAGGTGTGAAGGTGCAGGAATTGGGGCTGATCTGAGGTGTGAAGGTGCAGGAATTGGGGCTGATTTGAGGTGTGAATGTGCAGGAATTGGGGCTGATTTGAGGTGTGAATGTGCAGGAATAGGGGCTGATCTGAGGTGTAGAAGTGCAGGAATTGGGGCTGATCTGAGGTGTAGAACTGCAGGAATTGGGATTGATCTGAGGTGTGAATCTGCAGGAATTGAGACTGACCAGAAGTGTGAAGGTGCGGAAATGGGGATGATCTAAGGGGTAGAAGTGCAGGAATTAGGGCTGATCTGAGGTGTGAATGTGCAGGAATTGGGGCTGATCTGAGGTGTGAAGGTGCAGGAATTGGGGCTGATTTGAAGTGTGAAGGTTCAGGAATTGGGACTGGTCAGAGGTGTGATGGTACAGGAACTGAGGACTGATCTGAGGTGTGAAGATGCCGAAATTGAGGCTGATCTGGAGGGTGAAGGTGCAGGAGCTGGGACTGATCTAAGGTGTGAAGGTGCAGGAATTGTATTGTCTGAAGTGTTAAAGTGCAGCAGGAATCGGGCCAGATCTAAGAGAACTTAATAAGGATGACTGCTATCTAATCGCAAATTTCCAACTGTATATTTTTCAGAACCCCTCAGATGGCACATTCATTGCAACCTTACCATACTCACCTCACAGCACACGCCTTCTGGAGCAAGAGTAAGTTACCATTTACTTTACCACTTACCAATGATCTTTGAAAACTCAATGTACATTTCTTACTATTATTCAAGTAGTTTACAGCATTTACTTAAGAAAAGTTATTTTGGTGACAGAGTGTGACGTTGACATTTTTTTATATATAACCAGCTCTCTCAATTTTTTTAGTATACTTTTCACAAAATGTTTCCTACCCTGCTGTACTTCTAGTTATTTTGATAGAATTCCTTTCAACAGAGAAAACCAAAGGAGTACCAGTCTTCTGTTACCTTCCCTTTGTAAATGAACCCCAATCCACTCAAACTATTGCATCTTAACCAATAAGGACCTGCAGCCAAAGCTTCCACATTTTGAATCAGAGCGAAGTATCCAGAGCATAAAAGGTTAGCATCGTTCATTAGCAGGTTTTCTGATCCCCTATTTAATGTATCTACATACTAAATATAAATGCAATCTAATTTAAAAATAATTCTTGCCTTGCGAATCTGCACTTTAACAACAACGTCTAATGAACAAGTTAAAAATGAAACTTATATCAGAAGGATAATTCATACCTCATAACCAGATTGACTTCATCTTCTTTGGTCCACTGTGTTCCTCCGCTCTGCTTCCAGTTTAGATAGTTCAACCATTTGGAACGACACTGCTTTTCAGAACGCGTTCCCACTCGTTCTGCCACAGAAGCCCAAGACACTCCTTGTGTTACTATATCACCAGCCTCTGTGCCAGTCAGCTCATGAACAACGTCTGTTAGCCTTCTCTCTTCTTCATCTGTCCATTTTCCTGAAATTATACATATTTGATTTGAAACATCTTTAAATGACTACAGAAGATAAAAATTTCTCAAGGAGATGATAACAAATGGTACACTTTATAGGGCCACCTTGGCTCTCGTATATTAAAGGGTTTTTTTGTGACTAGAAGACACATTTTGACAAGTAGAAATGACTGAAAGACTACAAGATACCCAAATGAAAGAAAAACTGTTAGTACACAAGGTGGGAATGCCAAATCATGCATATTCCCAGTGGTTACAATAGTGGTTAGGGGTAACATTAGATAGAATAATTAAAATTTATAAGGAATACAGTGCAGTGTACACAAATAAAGTCACGTCACAACACAAAACCATATGTACCTATACAACTATAGCTTTAATCTGAGCAGGATTTGCACCTGTTTTACATGTCTCTTTCATTAGTCGACAGCGATCTTTGACAGAAGAGGCACTTCTACCCAGAGCAGCTCCTATTGTGGCCCAGTCGTTCCCATGCTTCAAACGTAACCTTGAACAATTGGGTAAAAAAAAAAAAAAAAACAGACTCATATGAAATATGTTTTGTAATTTTGTTAAAGAATAGTTCACTTTTTAGACAAAAATAATAAACAAAACATTTTTTTTGCAGGTAAAAAAATGTGCATGCATTATTATTGTCCAAAAGGAGCCTGGAAAGCATTGCACCAGCAATCAGTAGATTGCTGATGCCATGCAGGTCTCCTGCAGACCTGCCAGAATATCTGCTTGTCGTAGGGGATGTATGAGCAAGCAGATAAAACTGCAGTATAGGATTGTATTGCAGGCATACTAAAAAAACTATAAACCTTTCTAGAAAAAAAAAAAAAAAAAAAAAAAAAAAAAAAAGCACAGACATTGGTTTAACATGGTAAATTTGTTTTTCCACATATATGGGAATCCTTTTTTTTTTTTTTAACTTGAATAAAAATATTATTTATCATATATTAATTATCATACTGTATATGGAAGCAATATTTTTCTCAGAGGACAAAGACCTGATTGGAAGCCCTTTAGCTAGAACAGAAACTTCTTATTCATGGCTGCCCTAAAGGCTTCACAGCAAGTCAGATTTAAACAATAAAATGCAATGATATTTAAGGAATTCAGATTAAACAATACACTTTATCATATACAATGAAGCTTATCTGTACATATGTCATATTATTGTGTAGTACTTACTCTCTTAGTCTTTCAATTTCAGCATGTGTGTACCTGCAAGAAACAATTGGAACACCAAAATGAAGTACAACATAAAAAGTACATTGCAAGGTATACTATTAGACTAAAGCCAGCCATACATTACATGGATCAAAATTCAGCCAGTTCAGCAGGGACAGACCAAATTTTGATCCATGTATGGCCAGGCAGGTTGTACGCAAGTTGATTTATTGGTCAACTTGTGTACAACCAGCATGTCAGGTTGTACCCAAATGATCAGTGTTACCAGCTATAGCTGGGAACAATGATCATTGTATTCTGACAGCAGAGAGGGCTCCCTATTGTCAGCATACAATACAACAGAGGGAGGGATTCCCCCATTCACACCAAATGTGTGGGTGGAGGAATCAAGGCATTTTCTTATGTTCAACCCGCTGGTTGAACAAAAAAAAAAATGCACAATGTATGGGCAGCCTAGCGGTATATATAAAGCGTTATATATACACCATGCCTAAAGGCCCATTAAGGGTCTATGGATCTCACAGCCTGTGCGAAAGAAGCCGTATAATAAACCTGACGGGTTTGAGCACAGCCACCCTAACAGCAGGATTACCAGGTGAAAATACTGAAAAAAAAACTAGTGCAGCCACCACATTATTATTATTATTAAGTTACATTTTTTGGTTTGGGGTTGAGATATTTTTAATTACTTTTTGGTTTCCTCTTACTTTCCAACATGGTTCCTGTCATCGTACATGCGAAGAACTCTTCGATACACAGCAAAGAGTGGACGGTTCAGTCCCCAAGCTATTGTCCTATAGAAATCTTTCCTTTCATCCTTTGACATTTCAAAAATTATTTCAGCTGCATCTTTAATGCCATGTTCCTAAAAAGCAAGAAAAACAGCAACAAAATAAGCAACAAGCTAAAGCCAATCTGCACCCTAAACATTCTGTTTTACTGTGGAAAGAGTGGTGAAGGGTTGGAGCCTCTGCTGGGGTTTTACTGTTGTTTGCGCCCTATTGTAGAGATATCCCTTCACTTCTTGTCAGAGCAAGAAGTGACAGGAAATGTATTTAATGGTGACACTGAAAAAAAAAAGTACATTTTTTAGTGGGTTGAAGAAGGATTAGATGACTCAACAATGTCCTTTTGTTGTTTGTGCCTTCCTGCCCCAGTGAAGAAAGGAAAAATCTCACCAGTGGGGTGACAGAAATTTTCACTCTTCCGCACTCTATCTAAAAGCAAACCAAAAAAAGTTTTGTCTGGAGTGAGGCTTTAAACCTAGATATAGGATTTGTGATGTTCCATCAAAAAACAAATCAAAATATGCAGATCTTCAGTTGTAACTGAATAGGGCAACAGTTGTGCAGCAGATGAACCAATCTGAGAACTACATCGAAAGTCAGAATCCTTTAAAATGTACCAATGCAACAAATAAAACCTACCTTCAAGTATCTGTCTATGTTACTCATTAAGATTGCTATCTCCTCTTTGGACCACATGCCTTGCTTCCATCTGTGGCCTAAAGTAAAGAACAAAAATAATGCTGGATACATGCATACTGCTGTACTTATAGGACGTGGTGAGACTTAAACCATTGAAGGAAACTATAGTCTATTTGATTTATTAAGTGTTTTTTTTTCTTTTTGCTTGCGCTTTAGAAAACAGATAATGTTCTGTAAATGAACTAAAAAAAGTGGCAGAAAGGCATAGCTATAACTATTCCTATAAATGTTCCTTACTCCCTCCTCCTACTTATCATTCCTACCCTGTATAATAAAAACATTGGTGTACTTACCTTTTTTTAATTCGCTCCTCTTTAGCTATGTGATCCTGCAACTGTGGTTCCCCCCGTGCCAGATTTTTTTTTTTATTCAGGGTAGGCAAGATAGGTAAGAGGAGGGAACATTTTTACGAATAGTTTAGTTAAACATTTCTTCTGCCTCTAATTCAGGATTGACCTATAACACTGGATTTACAGAGCATTATGGGTTTTATAGTGAGAAAGTACAGCAAAGGCTGCTTGCTTTCAGGCTCTCTCACTCTGATTGAAACTTTGCACAGTGCAGTCTTAACAGATAGCAAGGGAAGGGGAATGAGGAGGATGAGACACTGCTTTGAGACTTTCAGTAGTCTAACTTTTAGCTATCAAGCTTTGCAAACAACAGGCTTTTTCCTTTTGCTCTCTTATGCTAAAGAGGGACTAGAAAACCAATGGAGAAAAAAGTCCAGAGCTCCAGCTGCTGGCTGAAAATAAGAATGCTAAATATTTATATGCAATAATATATATTTACATGACTAAAATACAGTTAGGTCCATTTATATTTGGACACAGGCACAATATTAGATTTTTTCAGGTATTTACTAAAATATATTCAAACTATAGTTTTATAATAGATATGGGCTGAAAGTGCACACTCTCAGGTTTAATTTGAGGGTATGTACATCCAAATTGGAGGAAGGGTTTAGGAATTACAGCTGTTAAGAGTAACCATCCCTCCTTTTTCAAGGGACCAAAAGTAATTGGACAATTGCATAAAAAGCTGTTTCACGGCCAGGTGTGGGCTACTCCTTCATTATTTATTCATCAATTAAACAGGTAAAAGTTCTGGAGTTGATTCTAAGTGTGGTATTTGCATTTGGAATCTATTGCTGTGAACCTTCATCATGGTACAGCCACTGGATGTGTGCCTAAACAAGCCATTTAAAGATCTCATTCGACAACAGTGGAATAAGTGGATGGTTAGCAGCAAAAAATCATTCACAAAAGGAGGAAACATGTGTCCTCCACAGTTGGACGTTTTTTGTAACTTTGTCATAAAAGCCTGGAATGATATATTGATGCAGAAACAGTAATCAAGTCTTTCAGGAAGTGTAGCATATCAAATTCATTGGATGGTATGGAGGCTGACTACTTGTGGCAAGATGAAGGGGAAGCTGAAGTCACGCCATCTAATTCGGAATTAGATCCATACGATGACTGTCTTACAAATGTATCACAAGATGTCATTGATGAACTTATGATGTCAGATGATGAACATGATGAGGATTTTGAAGGATTTTAAGTACCGGTAAGTCATAACCATTTTAATTAAAATTATTTAAATCAAATCTGATGTTTTTAAATGGTGTGCCTCGGATGGGGGGTAGTCTTATACGGCGAGTATAGCCCTAAACCTATGTTTTAACTGGAAAATTAGGGGGTTGTCTTACACACCGGCACATATATATATATATATATATATATATATATACACACACACACACACATATATACATATATATACACACACAACTGATCATAAACTATTATGGTTTCCCTCTAATATTGTCTTTAGCACACATAATGTATGGTACACGAACTATGATACAACAATACTATTCAATCCAGGGCTACCTTTGTTGGTGAGAGAATCTTTATCTTCTTTGCTGGTAAACCATGCTCTGCTAACTGCTGACATGTCTTCATTGCCTGCAGGAGAAATGGCATCGAGCTGCTCATTTTGGAGGATCTTGATGAGAGAAGATAAACGTTTTATCAGCAGGTTCTACAAGTGTAAAAGCAACCAATACTCTAACTGAAGTTTAGAATTTATATTATTTACTATGCACGCATTATGCATACATTATATACACATCAAATAAAAAAAAAAATCAGGTTAAATTATGGTATGCCTGCTTTAGTGATAGCTACATTACATTGAGTCCATACATGTGAGTATTCGGTCATGCAACTTACAGAGTCATTTCAGGAAACCAATCAATTAGCTACTGTAAACAAAACAACTGTGCTAAAATCAGGTAGTCCATTTATTTCACCTTATTCTTAGTTCTGGAGGCTGTGCTATGCAAATTCCTATTTCTTTCAGCTTCCTGCAGCACCAATCACAATAAAACTTTGATGGAAGGTAAGAATTGGTTTAGTGGCTGGGAATAGCTTAAAGAATAAGTTTACCCGTTTTTAGGGTATAACATGTTCCCATAGCTGCAGCCACGCACCCCCCCCCCCCCCTTCCTCCCTGTGGAGTGCCCTGGTAGTTCATTGAAGCTTCCTGTCAGAATATCTGCTTGCTCATACATCCCGTATAGCAAGCAGATATGCTGACAGGTCTGCAGGAGACCTGCATGGTATCAGCGATCTACTGATTGCAGGTGCAATGCTTTCCAAGCTCCTTTAAAGAAAAATAATAAACACACATTTTTTTACCTGCAAAAAAAATGTGCATTTATTATTTTTCTCCAAAAGGTGAACTTATCCTTTAATAGCTAACAGTACCGTTTGACATACAGAAAGCATGTTGTATGAAAGGAAAAGACATCAAGATGCCTGCACTGAGTGTGGGAATAGTTCTACATTACAAGCAGAGGTTCCCTGGTCACCAGGATGAACTGATTTTCTACAGCTATGCCTGAAAGAATTACTGACATACTGAGCATATATATATATATATATATATATATATATATATATTTCCTGGGGTCATTTTCAGTTTTGACAACAGTGTTCCTTTAACCTGGACAGTGGGGTTTCATGTACTACTGCTGGCAATCAAGGAGCTCAATAAAGGTCAGAGGCAAACATGAGAAAATCTAATCTGAAATGGTCAAGTTAGCAAAGCTGTCATATATTTAAAGTGCACCTTTCACTTTGCCCTGAATTCACCACTCCATCTACCTTCCTGTGCTCCCTACCACCCTTTTTACCTATCATAGCCTCAAATAGAAAGCCTTTTGAAGGCTTGGTGCCAGTCTGTATTTCAGTTTATACAGGAAAAGCGACTTTACTTTCACTCTTATGTGACAATGCTCAAGCCTATCTATTGGACACACTGGGGCTGTGCAGTCATCATGAAAGGAAGGTTCACATGCTCCCCACACTTAGAAGTACTTGGAAGGACATCTGATGAAAAGGATGGCAGAAGTTCACAAGCAAGGTAAGTATTAGGATCAGAGGAGGCAGGCTATAAAGAGAACCTGTTATTTAACCTTGAATGGGTAAAGTGACAGGTTTACTTTAACTTCAGACTATACTTTTATCCAAACCTATTTTGTAAACATTCCTCTGTTTCCACATTTTACCTGTATCTGAGTTATGGATTCTTCATTAATGTCGCCGTCCACCACTTCTGTGGTGGCAGTCATGGTCACCTCAAAGCCCTGTTCATTTTCTGACACTAAAAAGTAAAAAATAGTTGAAATTAAGTCAAAGTGGTATAATCAATGACGCAATGAAAACCTCAAGCAAATGTGTTCTAGGTTGAAAGGAAATTAACTAATATTATCTTGCAACTACAGGCATTATAGATTCTGAGCACCAACCTACCTGCTATTTGGCTTTTACTTAGTTACATAGTTAAGGCTGAAAAAAAGACATAAGCCCATCTAGTTTAACCAACAAAAAACAAACAAAAAAAAGATACTGAAAACCCCCATATACACAATCCTATACCCACAGTTCATCCAGTGGAAGGAAAAAAAAACCCAATAAAGCAATTCGCTTCAGTGGGGCAAAAACAATTCTCCCTGATCCCACAGGAGGCAATCAGATATTCCCTGGATCAACTACAAGCATGTACCTTCTACTGTGGATGCAATGTTTCAAACAAAAATACATTCTATAAATGTTTTGGGCTGTAGTTGGAGAAACCAAAACCCACACTACCAATCAATCCAACACTGCCTTTTGCCTCATCCACTTTCTATGGTCACAGAAATATGTAATTTGTTGCAAAGGGATTTGCCACATTCACTGCAGTTGCAGTTAAAAGAAAACAGTACAACATGATATTATGTATTGTAGGTGAGTTTTCCATGACTGAGGCTCCCCTTTAAATCCTTTTTTACCAAATCATGACATATTTGGTTGTGACGGTGTAAAGCTGATTTATGTTAAGGAATGGATCATTTCATTTTCTGCTACTTCTATTCTTTCAGCACTTTTTTGTTTTGCCCAGCATTAAAGATGAGGAATTCTTGGTACCATTCTGAGGGCAATGCAGAATCAAATTCCCATCGAGGTCCTGTGTGAGTGTTAGGGAGCTTCTTGTGGTTTGAAGTTTCACTCTTCCAGACTCTTCTTCACCTGTGCTCATACTCAACCTGCAACAAGAAAATCAGACTGCTGACACATAATGTAGTGGCCACAGCAAAAGAGTCATCAATTACCAAAGATGCAAACAATAAATATAAGGAAGCACCCTTTACTTAATTTGATGGGCACCGAATGGACCCATAAAAGATAATAATTTCTAATAAAGTTCCTATAGTACCTGCTGTAAATGAAATGTTTTATAAACACAGCTGACACAAGAACATATAATAATATTCAGAAGTCATTAAGGGCTTGTTCACACCATGGAGCAGAGACGTCGGTTTTTCTGCACTCCTTCTGCCCTGTTCACACCACAACACCAGTATCACGTGAAGATTTTTTTTCTGCGCAGGAATCTGCAATATATATAAAACTCTTTGAAAAGTGCATGAAAACTGCAGGTGAAATCTGACCGTTGGTTTTCATCGGTTTATCTGCACATATGGTGTGAACAAGGCCTAAAGGATGAGTGCACATGTTTTCAAAGTTTTATTTATGCATAGGCAGCTGACATAATCGCAAAAATATAAAAATATATATATATATATATATATATTAGCTTGCTACCTATCTTGCCTGTACAGGACTGAAGTTTTGTCCATTTTGTTCCTTTAGGCATATGCCTAAAGGAAACCAAGCAGGACTTGAAGTGTTACTGCACTTGCGGTTTCCTTGCGGGCTGCGATTTGTAAAATGCTGCACGGACCTTTTCTCTGTGTTTTCAGAAGGCATAGCAGCCCATTCAAATGAATACAATGCCATGCCTGCGCAAACCGCAGCTTGCAGAGCTGCACACACAGTATGTGAACCACACCTATATCTAAAGCCAAATTGTTTTTTACATTTATGATAAAGTAGGGAGGGGTAAAAATCCCAGTCAGGTTTATTTTCCATCTATGTTTCATTAAACGAGGGGAAAAATCTATCCAAAGTGAGGTAAATATTTTCTAAGACAGCTGTCACCAGAACAAGTATCTCCATTGGATTATTGTACCTCTACTTCTTTTCTGGTGGCAACTTGCATTCTCCTTCACTTTTAGTCCAGGTGACAAGGACTGCCAGGACAAAATAGGTGAATATCCTACAGGGATGTGCAATTCATATCGCCCGACACCCCGGACATGTAGAGCAGGTAGGTTTTGTTTGCCTTTAGCCCTGCAGCAGCAGCAGGGCCCACCCGTCAGGTGGAAGCAGCGCTGCCACCTGATTGTTTCCACACAGCCCACAGTGCAAGCTGCTGTCACCCTCCCACTATATGTCTCCGGCTCCACTTGCCCATCTGCAGGCCCAAGGACTGGTTCAGTGGGTTACATAGTTAGTCTGGCTGAAAAAAAACAAAAGGCCATCCAGTTCAACCATTAAAAAGTTATAGTCCTATACCCACAGTTGATCCAGAGGAAGCCAAAAAAGCTCAGCAAAGCATGGTCCAATTTGCTCCTGCAGGGAAAAAAATTCCTTCCTTATCCCGTGAGGCAATCAGATATTCCCTGGATCAACTTTACCTATAAATGTTAGTATCCAGTTATATTCTGTGTATCTAAGAAAGAATCCAGACCTTTTTTAAAGCAATCCACTGAGCTGGCCAGAACCAACTCTTGGGAGAGTCTATTCCACATTTTCACAGCTCTCACTGTAAAGAAACCTTTCCCTGTTTGGAGATTACATTTCTTTTCCTCCAGGCGTAGATGCGGTTATAGAGGAGGGAGGAAAAAAAAAATGCCTTTGACCTGTTTGAAGTAGGTGCCTGTCTCTAGTGCAAGAGCATCAGAGGATGCAATCACTGACTTTGTACAGGTGCTATGGGTAGACTTCATGTAGTAATAATAATATAATAGTATAATAAAAAAAAGCACACGCTGTGTTCAGAGATGCTTATCAGCACCTGCATACCTATCACGGCACAAACACAAGGCCCAGTCACAGTATATGGGCCTCAGCAACCATATGAATGAGGCCTGCACTCACCGGCCACATTATTAGGTACACCTGTTCAATTGCTTGGTAGCACAAATTGCTAATCAGCCAATCACAAGGCAGAAACTCAATGAATTTAGGCATCTAGACGTGATGAAGACGACTTGCTGAAGTTCAAACCGAACATCAGAATTATTATTATTATATTACATGATTAATAGAGCACCAACAGTTTGCAAAGTCCTTTGGGGAAGAAAGGGGATTTAAGCATCTTTGAACGTGGCATGGTTGTTGGTGCCAGATGGGCTGGTCTGAGTACTTCAAAAGCTGGTCATCTACTGGGATTTTCACACACAACCATCTCTAGGGTATACAGAGAATGGTCCAAAAAAGAGAATATATAGTCACTGAGCGGCAGTTGTGTGGATTTGGCATAAACAACATGAAAGCATGGATCCATCCTGCCTTGTATCAACAGCTCAGGCTGGTGGTGGTGTAATGGTGTGGGGGATATTTTCTTGCCACTAATAAGGTGTACCTAATAAAGTGGCCAGTGAGTGTATATATAATTTTTTTTTTGTCACACGGCATTTGCCCAGCGTTTTTTCAAATGCAATTTTTTGTTAAACAGATACAGTATAATGAATTTATTGCACAGAAACACACTGGGGTTGATTTACTAAAACCGGAGAGTGCAAAATCTGGTCCAGCTGTGCATGGTAGCCAATCAGCTTCTAACTTCAGCTTGTTCAATTAGGCTTTGAAAATAAAACATGGGAGCTGATTGGTTTTCTATGCAGAGCTTCAGCAGATTTTACACTCTCCAGTTTTAGCAAACCAACTAGTACCTGTCAGAACACCCAATCTGTGACTGGAGCCATTTGGCTGCAGTCACTATTCAGCCAACTTTTATCCACCCAGCATCTTTGATTTCTCAACCAATGTTTGTCAAGCTGCGTGTCGTTGGACCAATATAACTATGTACAGTCAGGTCCATAAATATTGGGACATCGACACAATTCTAACATTTTTGGCTCTATATACCACCACAATGGATTTGAAATGAAACAAACAAGATGTGCTTTAACTGCAGACTGTCAGCTTTAATTTGAGGGTATTTACATCCAAATCAGGTGAACTCAGGGACCAAAAGTAATGGGACTATTGGCTTCTCAGCTGTTCCATGGCCAGGTGTGTGTTATTCCCTCATTATCCCAATTACAATGAGCAGATAAAAGGTCCAGAGTTCATTTCAAGTGTGCTATTTGCATTTGGAATCTGTTGCTGTCAACTCTCAAAATGAGATCCAAAGAGCTGTCATTATCAGTGAAACAAGCCATCATTTGGCTGAAAAAACAAAACAAACCCATCAGAGAGATAGCAAAAACATTAGGCGTGGCCAAAACAACTGTTTGGAACATTCTTAAAAAGAAGGAACGTACCGGTGAGCTCAGCAATACCAAAAGACACGGAAAACCACGGGAAACAATTGTGGTGGATGACCGAAGAATTCTTTCCCTGGTGAAGAAAACACCCTTCACAACAGTTGGCCAGATCAAGAACACTCTCCAGGAGGTAGGTGTATGTGTGTCAAAGTCAACAATCAAGAGAAGACTTCACCGGAGTGAATACAGAGGGTTCACCACAAGATGTAAACCATTGGTGAGCCTCAAAAACAGGAAGGCCAGATTAGAGTTTGCCAAACGACATCTAAAAAAGCCTTCACAGTTCTGGAACAACATCCTATGGACAGATGAGACCGAGATCAACTTGTACCAGAGTGATGGGAAGAGAAGAGTATGGAGAAGGAAAGGAACTGCTCATGATCCTAAGCATATCACCTCATCAGTGAAGCATGGTGGTGGTAGTGTCATGGCGTGGGCATGTATGGCTGCCAATGGAACTGGTTCTCTTGTATTTATTGATGATGTGACTGCTGACAAAAGCAGCAGGATGAATTCTGAAGTGTTTCGGGCAATATTATCTGCTCATATTCAGCCAAATGCTTCAGAACTCATTGGACACCGCTTCACAGTGAAGATGGACAATGACCCAAAGCATACTGAAAAAGCAACCAAAGAGTTTTTTAAGGGAAAGAACTGGAATGTTATGCAATGGCCAAGTCAATCACCTGACCCGAATCCGATTGAGCATGCATTTCACTGGCTGAAGACAAAACTGAAGGGAAAATGCACCAAAAACAAGCAGGAACTGAAGACAGTTGCAGTAGAGGCCTGGCAGAGCATCACCAGGGATGAAACCCAGCGTCTGGTGATGTCTATGCGTTCCAGACTTCAGGCTGTAATTGACTGCAAAGGATTTGCAACCAAGTATTAAAAAGTGAAAGTTTGATTTATGATTATTATTCTGTCCCATTACTTTTGGTCCCTTAACAAGTGGGAGGCACATATGCAAACTGTTGTAATTCCTACACCGTTCACCTGATTTGGATGTAAATATCCTCAAATTAAAGCCGACAGTCTGCAGTTAAAGCACATCTTGTTTGTTTCATTTCAAATCCATTGTGGTGGTGTATAGAGCCAAAAATGTTAGAATTGTGTTGATGTCCCAATATTTATGGACCTGACTGTATATACCATACCTGGCTGATGCCCCCGAAAGTGGGAAATCTCTGAAGTAAACACTGTTACTCCAGTGATCTCCACTTGCTTCTGGGTCCCACATCAAGCGTTGTGAATACAGGAGGTCGGCTGCTCAGCACAACCACCAGTCAGAGAATGCTTTGCATTTTCTGAATGAATGCAAAGCGCTCTTTAAATGGACGAAGTGAAAAGATGGGGTGGTGACATCATGCTCTCCACTTCGTCCAATCAGAGAACACTTATTATGCATTCATAAAATTGCAGAGCTGACCTCCTGTGTTCAAAATGCATCAGGTTAGCCGCTCAGCATGGGATTCAGAAGCAAGTGGAGATGACTGGAGTAGCGGTGTCAAGTTCAGTGATTTTCAGCTTCTAGGGGCATCAGCCAGGTATGTTATACACATACACTCCACGGCCACTTTATTAGGTACACCCGTTCAATTGCTTGGTAGCACAAATTGCTAATCAGCCAATCACATGGCAG